CTATGGTACTTGGTTCAGCTAGCCCTATTCAGAACACTGAGAACACTTTCAGGGAATAATTCACGAGAATGTATTGAAGTTTACTTCAAGGTAACCGTGGCGTACAACTATTATGAGGCCATAATTCATTTGATCCATCACGTTGCTCAAGTTAGTACGTTTCATTAATGCCTGAATAATTTCGCCCTCCTGTTAAATGAAGGTAACAGAGATACAGAATCAGACTCTATAAATCACACTAAAATCCCTATGGGGATATGTGTTGCTTATCTATTTTTAGGCGGAGGTGTTGTTCAGAGTGAAGAAGTGTGATGTTCTCAGTGTATAGTCTATTATTGGTTACCTGCTTTTTTTACTTATGAACTCAGAGAGTTTAATAAGAATGTGCGTATATAAGAGAAAATCAATGGAGAAGTACTTTTTATCATGTGAGGGAAAGTTTAATTACAATAAGGAAATACGCGAGAAATGTAAATGTGGAATTGGAAGGAATACAAATGATATATCGTATATGATAACGAAGTGTTTAGAGAGTCTGAGTTACTTTACTCAGGTGTCACATATTGCGGAATCAATTCCTTAAGTAAGATTATAAGGGAACGGGTTTCAAACATCAGTATATATTCCAGACATATATCAGGTGTATGGAATTATGAAAAGATATGTGCCTCCCCCTCAATCGACATTATGCTCGGTCCATGAAACATACCCCTGTAGTGGCTTGTCTATGAAGTTATACATTGTATTTCAAAAACACATAAATAAGGAAAGAATACCTCTATGGTGTCACGTAAGAAATGTGATAGGATGCCAGTCCATTGTATGAGACTATAGAGTTGATGACTACCTATATTTCTGTGATCCATAATGACATGCCGATTTAATAGACACAGGGACAGAATGAAATATGAACAAAGAGTGTTAAAAGCATATATAGTTGTACGGCGAGAATAGGTGTGTACGATGAAAGAGAGTATTTATAAGTTGGTTGGTCTTTCCCTTTTTTCTGTGTCCTCCCTGTTTAATTAGCTAATCTTATGTGTTCAGTGTGATATTTCTGATGGAATTCAAAGAAATCTCTGTACAAGTTGTGACTCAGGAGACAAGTTTGCATGTTCTTTGTAAAAGGAACATGGAATAAAGACTGCGTATGAAGAAAAAAAAAGAAACCCTGCATAAATTTGATATGAGGTGTATCCTGTGAACTTATACGAGTGTATAAGAAATATAATTTCTGTGACGCTTCATTTTCTTCAAAGGAATCCTGGTTCATGGAATAACAATAACCACTTTTCAGAAAGTATAGAGGAATTTATTACATGAGTCTGCTACCATGAATTCGAAGAATAGTCTCTAGTAGCATTGCATGTTAGATTATAAGAGTGACCAACAATGTAAATCTTCAGTTTCCATCATAGTACATGAAACAGACTAATTAGGATGGCTGCACTTAATAAGGTTGATTTTATTTAGCTCAACTTTACAGGGTCGTTTTATAAGGTAAAAATTAGGGCAGCAGTGGCCACATCGTTGTCATATTTCATGTAACACCATAACAGAATTGATAACGATAAACTAGAACCAGAAGAAACAGAGCAAAACAACAACAGAGTTGTACAATGAAGGAAAACCCATATGACATACAAAGGGAAGACACCATAAAAAATAAGGACCGTATACATAACGCGGCGTAGCGATAATTTAAATTAAGGAAAAAAACATGGCCAAGCATATGAAACATATGATACTACGTGACCTACAGCAGGCCACAGTCGAGAGAAAAATAAAAAAGAATGGTAAAGTATAAAGAAAAGCAGTCAACTTCCAACCTTTTAAAGTGCGAATAAAATATTACGCCAACAAAATTATGGAGAAGCAAAAATAAGGAAGTTACGAAGCACGTGTATTTTAAAAATCCCAGAAGGTAGGATAAATTCGGCTACGTTATTTAAGAAGCTATGTATTAAGAGAAAAAAAAAAGCGAAAGCAAACATAACGAACCACCTCGTATAAAATAACCTCCGATCCCGCCAACTCAGTCCGTATAATACTCGGGCCTACCGCATAATGAATATTATATAAAAAAATGGTGCAGTAATTTAGAGAGTGAGGGGGAAGAACAAATACGGGTAGATACAAAAAGAGTCTCTAATAGAGCCTCTCCCTGACAAAAGTGAGGAATTATAATTAGGACACTCCAAGAAGAGGATGAATACTATAAATTTCTAGTAGGAATATTAGATTTGTAAACGTCTGCTAAGGAATATAAAATAGCAGGAAGAAGAAAACAAAAAAGATGCGAAACAGGAGAAAAAGGACACAAGAGACGTGGAACCGATAAAATATATATGGAACAATATAAAACAACAGCGAGAAAATATCATTATACATAAGGGCTAAGTAAATTCTGAAGATATATAGCCATAAGGATATGATTTATAAGAAACTGCCGGTGTCAATGGGATGATATTCAAAAGCCGGAAGAACATTTCATACCTGGGGGGAGAGTCAAATACCGAAATTCTTTTATTGAACAGACAAGCAGAGACCCTCAGTTCTATGAGACGAAAACTACTAAGTAGAAAATACGAATATAATAATGAAATTCTATTCTTCCTGTGATTTTACCAAATGTCAGGAGTATCTAGGGGTACTAAGATAAAGAGGATACGTGGAAACCCAATAACACTGAAGAATCAAAATAATACCAGATAGTGAGAATCAAAAAACACTTTTATAATACGGGATCTGCATGAATAAAATGGCGCCACTATGGAGAAAAAAATAGGACGGCATCTGGACCTTCTAAGGGACGCCTGTAGAGAAGTGGGCGGGATAACACCAGGATGGACACAGCAAATCCAAAACCTAACGGTAAGGCCCAGAGTAATAACAGACTCTCCTTTCACGTAGAATAGATAGAGGATCCAGAACCATAAAAGAGAGGAGCACATAAATAATTATTATGTGTCACAGCAACTCAGGGCAACCTGTCTGAGATCCATAAAAGAATAAATGACTTTCGCACAAAGAACAATTAATAAAAGAAATAAGAAAAGTTCACATTAACGAACAACCAGAACGAGGAGGCACCAGATATTAAGTAGTAATCGAGGGTGCCGATACAATAAACATAGTGTAGGAGCCAGAGAGAGAGGTGCATCGTAATGGCAGAGACAGTAACACATAAGAATCCGAGTATTTAGAGTCAAAAATATAGAACAAAGGAACAGCAGAGCTCCTTAATGGAATGAGAACATATAACCTAAGAAAAGAGTGATGGACAACGCCAAAAGATGCAGAATTATAGTGACACATAAAATATTGAGGAACAAGTGCATCATAGCCAGGGAAAGCTCACAGGAGACATCAGCTAAGGGAATATAGAAATAGGCATACCAGTAGCAAACAGCTAACACCAGCGAAACACATGGTTAACAGACAACTCCGCCCATATAAAGTCCAGGATTAAGGAAGAATCAGAAAACGGATCTCGCATCCCATGGGTGCAAAGGAACTGTAAAAGCTTAGCGAAGGACACAAGTTGTATAAGTAATAGGAAGAGATCCTCAGAGTAGTCCCATATCAACCCACAAAGGACACCGCGGCACTGCAGCCAAAACCAGTGGAGCAGTGCCACAAGAACAATAGAGCAGCAGAAGAAAAAGTTGCAGGACGTGCATAAAACTACGCTAACTTAAGGAAACACGAAGAGGACAGGAATAAAATGATGCTTTAAAAATAGAACCCTACAAGAGCGAGAGAATCTCCAAAAAAGAATGTCATCTCACTGAATGAGGAACATCGAAAGAGGCGACCAGGTCCTGATGGTAACATATTTTACTGTATCTCCTACAGGAAGAATTAATAGATTCCGTAACTGGAGCCTCCGTATACGATCTATTCGAAGAATATGGGAAAAAGCAAATTCATCCCCATTGTGACAACTGTTTTATAAATGACCGTAACGGGGAACCGAAGAAAATAACAGAATGTGTACTATGCCTTACAGGCATATTGGGAAAGTGGAAAGGACTCACCTGGGAGCAGTGGAAGAAAGACACAAAATACGAAAAAAAAGGAGACGAATTGGAACTCTGGAAGGATCTCGATAGTTGGGCATATCTATTAATGTCTAAAGACGAGACATTAAGGGCTTCCTGGGAGGGGAACATGCAGTATTTATGGAATAAGGTGATTCGAGGTATAGCCAAGGAGATACCAAATAGGGAGCGAAGAAGAAGAAACCTAGGGATACCTGTCAGCAAAGAGGAAGCCCTAATTAAGTTAACCCATGGATGGACGAATGCATTTATAGAAGAGACCAAAAGCAGGAAATTATCGACATCTGAAGTAATATGTACTGTGCTTAGTAGGATGGGATGGATGCCCCCAAGAGGGAAAATGCACGACATGTGTTCAAGCATAACTGGTAAGGAGGGATAAGAGAATACACACGATGCGTCAAGGGTACATTCTGTTAGTGACGTATCCAGCACCCACAGAGAAGGGAGTTTTCGGCGTCAACAACTTAATATGCATGCACATAAATGGAAAACACGAGTAGATCACGACCAATTATCGGGACTATCCGATAATGTACTAAATTATGACAATGCAGGAAATGGAATAAAGGAATTGCCTGGAGCCCACGAAACCAAGGGGATAGCAGGGAAAATACCATGGGGGAAAGTAGCTGTTGGAGTCATGGCTTCATTAAGTATCTGTTTTAATCTGTGGAAAGTAAGACGGAAGGGAGGCGCAATTACAGCAGGAGAAAGTCTGTGTTATAGAGAAAAATAATATTATGAGTGCCATATGTAAAAAGAAGCCTCGACCCCCAGAGGGATTCTGAGAGGGGCCACTTAAGGAAGCATAACCTTATATAATCCCAATGAGCAGCACAGGGAGAGTTGAAAATGAAGTAAGAAACACAAAGCCTTAGAGATGGCAGGATGGGGATATATGCAGAAATATTTGTATAGTTTACCCCTATAGGAAGTTTCCTAAGGAAACGAATATTCAGAAGGACCAACTCATTCAAGAAATGGACTGAACTGGATGAATGGGAAGACAGTGAAATTTCGAATAATGACTCACGTAACCAGACAGACGAGGATCCAGAGGATCGGGGGCATTCATATAGTATCCGATACGGCGTCAGATAACGAAAGTCAGGAAGGATAAGCCGATTATGTTTACTGTTTCGGTTTACAGTTCAGATGTAGGTGTGGGCTTCAAAATTTATATTCAGAGCCCAAGTTTTCGTTCAGGTTTAACGTTCTCATTTCAGATTTATGGTTCATGCCTTATCTTTGGCGTCCATACTCTGGGGGTTAATATTCTTTTTTACCTCAATATATAGAGCGCTTGCACACACTACATTGATGTTCACTGCTGTCTAATACACTAGGGAAGGGAAACATAATTGTGGCGAAAAGAACAATCAGTGCGGGTACATGCCCCTGTGGATCTGTTTTAAAATCAATAAGGAGACAATTAATTTATTCTTACAAGAAATAGACATTCCACACATATAAGTGCTTAACCATTATTACCGAAGATTACAAAAACAGAAGAGGAAGAGAAATGGAAGGCAGTGTGTAAAATCTCAGCATGCCCCCTCAATATTTGGACTTATCCTGATGCTACTGATCATGATGATAGAGTAACGAGATATTAGAATTCAGTCTTCTATAAGGGGAACGTGAAAAACCATAAAGCAGCCCTAGGAATCCGCGATTTCGGTGAGGCTTCGGAAAAGGAATACATCAGAATTTTCCTGTGCCATCCTGAAACAGGAAGAATGAAATAAACAACTCGTTCTTTTCCTATGAAGCAGGCGTAATACTTCCCTTATTACCTATGTTTCGAGGGTATATTCGTTGTTTATTCCTGATTTGTACGAATAATTAAAGCCTTTTGTTGTGTATTCCTATTAGAAGGGATGCCTATATTTTCTAATAGGGCAGATTATTAGAATGAATCCTTCAGGCATCGTAACAAGGATGTCCAATATTGCTGAAATATGAAGATTTGGTATTTCCGAAGTATTGATTTATTTGGAGGTACACTCCTTTTTTGCGCTATCTCAGGAACAATACGGTACAGCAGGATACAGCAATCCCTCATTATCAGGGAGAAGACGAATCATCCTATGTGAAACTTTGCGGTGATATCTTAGTGTATATCCCTGTTAAACGACTTAACACAACCTCGAAGCCATGATAGTTAATGAAGTATATGTTAAACATTCAAACAGTTCATAAGTGGCTGTATTCAAGTGAAATAAACATTATAAACAGATATCAACAGAGCTGGAATAGAGAAACGTATACTCCTTCCTTATTCCAATTGAAACCACAGAAATTGGGCGATTCTTAGAAATATTAGCAACTGACCCCATAATTGTCAGGATATCTCGCATTTCACAAAGAAAGAACCGTCCTTCTATATATAAGTATTGTATTGAGCATATATCTACACACTGTCGGGGAATCTCCTTTGACGTCATAGTCAGCCACAGTTTTCCCTCTTTTTCCTTCATGTTCCCCGTTTATTTTGTGCGTCTCATCATTATATCGGGAATTGATTTTATCATTTCTTTCTCCTTTTTCTTAAAGTGTTAATTTCTCCGTGAAATTATATGTTTTCGTATAAGCCTGACATGATTAATTCAGTAGCTGTCTTCTTAAGGAAACCTCTGGAAAATAGCCTATTTAAGTGATCCCCGATTAAAGTGACTCTGTGCAGAACTCTGTGTCGAGCTTGTCCTCATCTACTGTTCTTTTTATTCTTTGATTCAAGGTACACATAGTTCTTCTCACTATATTCAGGTATATAGTGACGTGGAACATAATGCAGGCTCTCATGTGTGGCCTGACGCTTCGAGCGTCGTTCCTTGTGGCCTAATTTTCGCGAACGTCTTCTCCTGTCGCGTAATTTGTGGCAACGTCCTTTCCTATGGCGTAACTCTAGGGAAGGTGCTTTCATGTGGCTTAATTCTAGTGAACGTGCTTTCATGTGGCATAACCCCGGCACGCCTGTTTTTCCGAGTTGCCTTATATAGATTTTCTTATTTATTTTCCTGAGGAAGATATACTTCTGTGCGGTTTCTCTTTGACGATATATTTTCGGGAGGGTTCTCTATATAGACGACTGTTTCCGCAAGATTTATATGAACCTGTTTGTTCGTGTACTACTTACTGTTATGATAACATTTTCCACAGCATCTTTCTGAGGAGGCCTGTTGCGCTGGTACTCTTATAAAGATGCCTTTATTTGCTGCATTTTTATCACGATTTTTTTTGTGTAGTTTTCCCTTAAAAATCTTTTGTTTCTCCCCATTTTTATGATGCTCCGCTGTTGCGTTATTGTGCTGTTTTCGTGTTACCTCATTGGGCTTTTTATGGTTCTGTCGCGGCACTGTGATGCCTTCTCTGTGTGTGGCATCTTCCTAAGGATGCTTATATCTGCCATGTCACTATACTGATGCCTCTTGGTTTTTCATTCCTGCATACCTACATTTTTTTCCCTGCGTCAATATGAAGATGTTCTTGTGCGCGGCATTTTGTTGAGGATGATATTTCTTGTTTCATTCTTATGAAGTTTTGCTTTTTTTTATGGTGCTCCATTGTGGAGTATCTTCCCTGTGGGGCATTTTTTCTCCGAATATTCATTTTACGGCGCTGTACCTTTAATACATCTTTTCGCCTGTCCTCCTTATAAAGAATGTTTCTTCTGCTGTGTTTCTATGAAAATTCTTCCTTGTGTTGTATTTTTTTTTGGACGATAGTTTTTTCCTGGGGTGGTCTAATGATGTTTTCTGTTCCACGTCATTGTGGAAATTGTTCTCCGTGTGGCATTTTTCCTAGGAAGAATCTTCTTACCGCCTTATATTTATGATATTTTTCCTTTTGGCTGTTTTATAAAGATGCCTATTCCTTTTACCATATTACCGCGAAGGAATTCTTCTGCGAGGCATTTTTTTCTATGAAGATATTCTTTTTCCGCGGAATTGTTTATGATGCTTCTTTCCCGCGGTATTCTGAAGATATTGTTTTGTGTCATCTGCTTTATAAGGATGCTCTTTCTTCCCGTGGCATTGTGAAGATGTCTTTGTGTGTGTTATTTTTTCTACAATGATGTACCTTTCTTCGCGGCGTTTTGAAGATGTCCTTTCCTGTGTGATTTTCTCTATAAGATGTCTCTTTTCGGCGGCATGGTTAATATCCTGTTTTGTTCTTTATCTCTTCTATGAAGATGCTTTCTTCTCCTGGTATCTTCAGGATGTTCTTTCGTCGCGTCATTTTGAAGAGGTCCCTTTGCATCCATTATTGTGAAGATTTTCCATCAGGTGGCATCATTAAGAGGAGGTTTCTCCGGCTGCACCCCTGTCGATATGCTGTATTTTAAGTCATTTTTTCTTATCGGAATTTCTCTTTCTGTAAGATTGTGATTGACCTACATTTTTCCTGCTCCTATGTGGAGTCATTATGAAGATATTTCCTTTTTTCGGCTATTTACGAAGATGAGGACATATGTGAACTGTAAATATCATGACCATATGGATGTGGCTGCATTACAGGACAGGAATAGTATACCGATGTGTGAAAGGATACATTTATTCATGGTGTCTTACTGCTTCAGAAGTGATGATGTTCATGGAGTACTATTAAGTGAATAGCAGTGTCACCCGGATAACACTGTTAATTGAAGTGCAGAGTCGCGTCAAGGGTAAGGATCTTCTGGAGTGTTATTTTAGGGAGGCTACTCACGTTTGCGTAGTACTCATATGTTCAAAGTAGTTACATGCTTAGCCTTTCATTACATGGAAAGCACAAGCCAGGTTGGGGTATTATTCTTTGCGAATTAGTCATGTGCATTTCTAAGGAGGGAGCAGCGCCGGGACCTACGTGCTGTACTGTTATTTGAAGTACATGGATATTCTACAACTCTCCCTGAAACCGTACTGAATTATCTGGATCCTGAATGGTCTACAATCCCAACATCCCCATCGTACTGTTATATGAAGGTGCTAGTACCTCAAATATGTCCATGCCCCTTCGTGTTATCATACTGAGCAGCACCATCTTGTGTTATGGGTTGGCCCATAATGAATATCTATATCTTCAAAATGTTATGTTATGAAAAAGTACGAGTGTACGAGCAGTACGGCTATGTTCAAAGTATTGTGATGTGGATAATACTTCTATTTAAATAGCGGAGTCTTTTAGTGAGTACCCATGATTTGCAATGCCAATATAAAGGAACTACAGACGTATGTATAGCACTGATATGTGGAGATAGCGCATGTAATTGGTACACCGCCATCTGGATTGTGGCCAAGTCGAAACAGTCGTATTAATTGATGTATTCTGGTCATAGGATATCTGTGCCGTAACCTTCTACCATCTGTGGAGAGCTATCGTATGAAGATTGCACCAACTCCTGTATTATTTTTATGTGAAGGATACTTCTGCGCCCAGTGTGTTAATGTGTGAAGTGCACTGTTAATGGAAAAAGCCTACTGTTATGTGTGAGGCGGTGTACCTCGATGAATAAGCCTATCCTTGGGTTATCAGGATGTCAAGTGTTTTGATGTAAGTATAATGACTTCATTACATCACCTGCGGGATTACGGAGCTCCTAGGGCCCATCTGTAATACTATTACTTAAAGAGTATTGCTACTCCGGGAATTTGATGATGTTGAAAATACTTTCTTGTGTTGAGTATTCATCTTCCAGGAGTGCTATTATGCTACGGGCTACCACTGTATCTTCAGTTATGTGGCTTCCTTAGTACGACTATATATCTGTGGTACTATTCTTTAAGAAGTACGCTTGTACAAGTAATACCGTTATGTTAACAATACTCTCGTTTGGATAATACCTTCATTTGAAATGCAGGATTGTATGGGGAGTATCGATGACTCCCTGTATGATTCTGTGAAGAGTACAGACATCTAGACCATACTCATAGCTGCAGAGTGCTAATATCCCCGGTACATTCTTATTCGAAGCATCAGAAACTTACAATAGTACTGTCAAGTAATTTATGTTCAAACAGATAAGATATATGGCATCATGATTTTTCCTATGCAGAGAGTTATACTATGGATGGTATGAGCGTTCCCCTAATAGTTTGATATGAAGCGTACTATGGTGT